CACATGATCTAGGATTAATCTTTAGTAAATAAAAACTAGTTTAAGGCGTGCCTTTAGAGTTATCAGCATTAAATATAAAACTTTTATTCCACCTGGGTTTACTCATCAAATAAGTTCTTGTTACCTCTATTGAAATTTGTTGGTCAAAAGAATAACTCAGGATGACTTACTTTGTCTAATGTCTCAGAAAGTTTTTGTGGGTAATCTAAACATAATTGTTAAGAACGAGTAAATTAGGATACACGTAAGTAGGATAAAAAGTTTTTAGGTAAACTTTTCAAATAGTTTCCCCAAATCTTTGCAGTAACCTGAAACCTGAAAGTTTTGCTAAGTTCAATGATGAGGTAAGTTAAATTCATTAAATATCCAGATCATTTCCAAAGAAGATAAAACAGAAACATTAATTACTGAACATAGGTTTATCCTCTCTTGGTTTCCTTTTTTACAAAGGAACTGAAGATATTTGGATCTCTCAGTAAACATATTTTATGTCACATTGAAAAAATTGTACTCTTAGGAAGCATATGTCTCTAAGAATCCTAAAATGTAAATTTGCCAATCTGAAGAATGTCAATGTAATAGTTCACAATTATGTGAGAAGTGAGATGATTCATTTTCAGAAATACCAAATAAAAGCTGTGCTGTCTAGTTAACAGGTTAACTAGATTAACAGTTTATAGGTTTACAACCTATTGGAAATATTTATGAACAACAACCCTGCCCCCCCCAACAATGGAGTCCCAAACCCTTAGACACTTCACTTCCTGGCTCTTCTTCCCCTCTCCATTCTGGGAGCTTTGCAGTGTGCATGCACCAAAGAACAGAAGTCTCTGTGACACCTCAAGGAATGCACTTTTTGCCTTACATGGGCATAGGCAACTTCCAGGTAAGGCCATAACCTCTGCAGTACTCAGCCAATGAGGAATCAGGGTAGGGACTTGCATGCTAGGAGATAAATTGCCTGCTGAAACTGCCCAGTGTGTGCCTGTCCATCAGACACCCACTCTTGCAAGAATGTTGATTAAAGCCTTGCTTCACATGCTCCAAGTCTCTGCATCCCTCTTTTGATTGGGTTGGTGGGCTTATTTCTCACAATTGTTTACTTGGCTTTTACTAAAAATTAAAGTTATAAAAAGAATGAAAAATTCTAATATATAATTAAAACTACTAGAAATAATATGGGAAATATCCTGTATGCAAGTAAAGTAAGATGTGTAAAGTAAAAGGAGGTACAAAGAATGGAGATGGATTTTGTTGAGGAAAAAGGGGAAGTTTATCCTAAAGAGAGGTAGAAAAGAAAAAAAATGGGAAAAATCTAAATCTAAAAAAGTTGTAGAAGAAGTACAAAGAAGGAAACTTGGGAAAATAATTTTATGCGTGATCAAGCTGGATAAAATTAAATAAAGTTATTGTAAGGTTTTTTTCAAATAAGCTTTGATATGATTAATGTACTTATCCTTAAGAAAAACTAGAACTTAATACTCTTTCATCTGCCAGAAGACAAAGTTTTCTTGGACTATTGGTCTGCCCTGATAAAAGATTGTGAAGGGTCTTCCTCCTTTACCCTCTCAGTAATCTGCCTACAAAGCAAAGATTTGTGTTTTATCAAAATGATTTCCTGTGCTCTTTATCATCAAGTCTTTGATTACTTAGAAAAAAACCCAAAAAACTAATAGTTGTCCTTTAAAAATTACAGGGAATAGGATCTAGGCATACAAATGTGATTTAATATGAATGTGTTTTTATCTTCAGCTTCTACCTTTTGCCCTATTAGTATGTCTTCTGATGTGAATATAAACACAAGAGCAAATGATGACTGATCTTAATAAAACTTAACAAATATGAATGAGTTGGTCACAGAGCTAAGCACTAATCTCACCTACATAACTGGTTCAACTTTATATAGTAAAAAATAAAGCATAAAAATAAATTATTTCATCAATCACATTTAAATAAATGCTTCCTGTGTTCTGCAATCCTAAAAGATTAAAGTTGACTGCTTTTTGGAAGCTAAATTGTTGTCTTCTGAATCATTGTTTGCCATTTTATCTTAATCATTCTAAAACATTACCAGAAATTTATCTATCTAGTGGGTGACCACGTTATGAAAACAAAAGGAGCTAATACTTTGCAAGAGTATAAGGAAACTAACATAAATAGAATATTCCTAATGGGGTTATTAGAGGCCTTGAGAATTATCATGTCAATAAATATTCACAAATCTCCAGAACCTTTCCCCATTTTTTTATTTTTGTTTCTTTTCTGTGGTTCTGTCTTTAACCACAACCAGCCTTCTGTATACTCCTATAGTTGACTTTGTATCACCCATTTGGCAAGCATTCTGTATGCCTCAAAATGCCTCCCAAGATTTAGCACTAGATGGGAAAGTTGCCTTGCCATTCTCTTCTTCCTCCGTAACAGAGCCCCTGAATGTTAGTGCCATGCAGAATAAAGACCAGATTGTTCAGCCTCCCTTGTAGGTTTGTGTGGCCACATGACTAAATTTGAATCAATGGGGGAAAAAATGGAAATGGTGTGTGCAACTTCTGTGAATTGTGCTCATGGGGACCTGGTGTATAGGGACACGGTGTATCTCTCTCCTCCTTTATCTCCCTTCTGGCTGGCTAGATGCATATGATGTCACCAACAGGAGCTGCCATTTTAGACCGTGAGGTCAAAGCACATCCGGAGGAACAAAACAGAATGTGGTATTCTAATGATCATACCATACCAGCGTTTGACTATGCACATTTATGTGAAAAAATAAAAATAAACCCTCTTGCTTTAGACACTGTTGTTTCGGGTTTTCTATCACTTAGAGACAAACCTAATCCTAGCTGATGCACACTCAAATATTTGTTGGTACATATATCTTTCAGGTGTGATCCTTATCTTTAAGTCTTGGTCTCTGTCATCCATCTTGCCCTACTCAAAGCCATGTTAGGACATAATGAAAAGGAAGAGATGCATTAAATAATACCTAAGAACAGTCAGTTTTGAAGAAGTTAAATTTAGGAGAAGAAAGGATTAACGAGGTTAAAAATCTTTTCTATTCCCAGAAGTTTGGTTTATTAAGAGACATTCTAGGTAAAATTTCAAAGTTAACTCCCAAGATAATTAGACAAAAGCTAGGCCAGATGTCTAAGCTAAGTTTTGGTCTCAAAATAATTACCTTTGTTAATTACCAGTAATCAGTGTCAGCATCCGACACTTTCCTAAAAACCTTCGTGGGGAGGGGGGTGGAGAGAGTGGGGGCAGAGAGGGAGGCAGACAGGGAAAGAGACAGAGAGAGAGAGAGAGAGAGAGAGACAGAGAGAGATTGTGCATAAGAGAGAGTCAGAACAAAAGCATTTTCTAGAACAATTATATCTTGGGGTCATTAAAACCTGATTCAAATTTTGTAATTTTGAACATTGATTGGGTTATGGAAAAACCAGATATAAGTTAGTGCAAATACCTTTTTGCTTCTATCTAGACTTAATTTGAAGTTTATATCCTTTCTTATTTTATGCTTTTTTTCATTTCCAACATAATTATTTTTCTTCATCTTCAAAACTTTACCTTTAACTCTGCTTCCCCCACCCTCAAAAAACAATTTTTGCTGAAAATGGCCCTAAGTGGAAGATCTCAGGGTTCTTCTTGAGCCTTTCTTCAGGATCCTTTCCTCAGCGAGAAGCTCTGGTGTTTAGCTCAAAAGTACAGCATAGGACTCTCAGTGATTTGTGGATAACTTAATTTGGGGGCACTTTTTCCATAGTGCACAAGTTTACGTAATGCATTATTCTTCCCTTCTTTGTGTAGATGACCCTTTGTGAAGACAGAAATATTTATAGATGCATCTATTTTTACACTACCTCATCATTTCATATCTCTTTGGGCCTCCTTTTCTGTGCTTAAAGTTTCTTTTTAAATATTTAGGGGACCAATTGTCTGGTATTATCCATTAATAATTCATTGTAAATGTAGTCATTTTAACCTGCAAATAACAGTGTAAATAATACTTGACTCTTTAAATCTCTATCACAAACATGTCATACTAACTTCTGCTCATGCCTCCTGTCTTATGGTAGATCCATTGCCCCTTTATCCTATCTCTTTTTAACTGGTTTACTGGTTTGTCTCCCTCACCAGACTGTTAGAGGGAAAAAAACATGTTCTAGCTCATTTTTTATATCTCCAGTGGCCACCAAGCACATATAGAATGCATTAACATTTTTTTTTTGTAATTAATGAAATATGCCAATATTGTCAGGCCAATAGGACTTTTAGTGACAAACTTTGGTCCTTTCATAGGTTCAGTGAGTCATAAGATGGAACAATTTTTCCCACCACCTATTTTGTGTTTTAGTGGTGACTCCCAATTTTATTTGAGTCCATGGGCTATTTCGTTATGTCATAAACAATACTGACCAATTTACCTGCTTGCAGAGAGAAAAATAATTATTTATAAAGCTCACTAGAAAGGGAAGGAAAGTGAAATTTGATGATAAAGTAAAATCGTGCTATTTTATTTTTAATAAGTATCAGGCATAAATTATCAGCCCATGCTAAACAGTAAAGATGGTTACGTTTAATCATGAAGACTACATTATCAAAAGGGAAAATTCATATACTCATTAACTGCCTATTTCTAGAGAGAAAATCTATATTCTACCCACCACCACTGTTTTAAAACTTTATGGGTTTTGTAGGTATACTTCTAAATTACAAAACCAACTGCATTTTTATATGTTGCCATTCACTGCAGGGTTTGTTAACAGAGAAAAATCATGAGGTTTGCTTTTGGGGTGCTTTCTATATGTTAAGTGCACACAGGCATATAATTTGCAGGCATACCTTATTTGCTTTATGTAAACTGGGAATCATATAATCCTGATATCATTCAATATTTTCACTCCATGATCACTGTTCATTACAGTATGATCAGAGCTGCTCAATGTAATCACACTTTCCATTTCACAGCTTCCTGTAATCAATCTATATATTCTTTAATCCCATACCTCCAATGCTGTTCTGAACTGTCCTGCTGCCACGGCGTATTTCTTTTGTCTGTAGCAAGAGCTGGCATCCTTTAAGGCTAACTGAAGCCATTTGTCAATCTGAGGCAGAAAGCTGAAATTAGGTACATGCAGAGGGTCTACAATTTCAGCAGCTTGGCATGATGGTCGAATCCCAGTAGACACGAAGGACTCTACAAACTCATAGCTCACATCCTCTTCATCGACGTAGACCAACTTCGCCTCCACATCCATGATATTTTTTAAGGGGATGTGAGGCAGAGGCATGGTGATCAATGTGCTGTCAAGTTCCGTTATCTTTGCCTCTTTCTTTCCAGCTGGCTTTTCTTCATTTTCTGCCTTTCTTTTAAAAGCCACTTTCTCTAAATCATTGCTATGTTTTTCTTTGATGCTCTTTGTCATTTTTATTCTTTCCACTGTGATTTCTACCTGTTTATCTCCACAACTTTTCTTAACTTCTTGTGATGTTTCCAGGATGCGTGGCTGGCTTGCTAAGGTAGACATTTTCTTGTTTGTGTTTATCTTTGGGACAAGCTGGTCAGGACAGTCCCTATTCACTGTATTCTCCAAATTCCTACTGCTTCCTGAATCCATTGATTCCCCTCTGCAACTCTTGGAAGGGTGAGAAGAAGGAAAATAATTAAAACAATGTTTTGAAGTTCCAATGGTTTAAAACTATAGTTAAATTCATTTGAAATACTTTTTTATTCATTACGGGTATTCACTACCTTAAATTTAGTAAAACTGTATGTACATTATCTGCTGAGAGTTTTACTAGAGAAGAATATGTTTCAATCTCAAAACTCACCAAGAACTTGTTGAAAACACATTTAGACAATGTCTTTAAAAATAATCATCTATAGCTGAACAACACTGAATGAACATTTTTATGGGGTTCCTAAACTCACTGAATAGGAAAACCTTATACATAGGCACTGAGGACAAAAAAAAGACTAAAAAAATCCATCTCAATATTAATTTCCTCAGAAAGGCAGGTGGTCTAGAATTCATTATAAAATATACTGCTAACCTGCATAATAGACTTGGAAGTCTAAAGAAACCACAGCTGCTTCCTCTGAAAAGCTTCAGAAAATGTTGTAAGCACAATGTTTCCTCAATTTATTTCTTCCTTTAGTAATGAAAATATCAGGTTTAAACAGCTTTAAAGATAACTATTATTCAGAACTGATTTGATAGCAGAACATGACCTTCAACCTCACATTAATGTGGAGCCATATATGCATCTTGAGTCTACTGTATTAATACTTTTGTAGCAATATTATCAATGCTGTACTTCTAAGATGAGACATTTTCCTAAATCATTAATGTTCAAAAAATATAATAACTAATGGTCTTTAGATTCAAAGGCATACTATCTCTGATGCTAGATTAGTTTAAAAACATAAAATGTCCTCAGACTTAATAATTATGTAGTATAATTGTATCCTATTTTTTGAGACTCTTTTACCTATCAGCTTCTGTCCTAGAAACAACTCTGTAGGGTATATAGGAATAAGAACCAACATTTTCCAAAGAAACTAAAGGATAGAGAGGTTACGCTGCTTATCCATGTCATGCTGTTGATCATTAGTGTTTTTTTAAATGTTTATTTATTTTGAGAGAAAGAGCACGAGTGGGGGAGGTACGGGGGGCGGGGGGGGGGGTGGACAGAGGATCTGATGCGGGCTCTGTGCTGACAGCAAAGAACCCGATGTGGGGCTGGAACTCACAGACCATGAGATCATCACCTGATCCAAAGTTGGATACTCGAACAACTGAGCCACCCAGGTGCCCTGGTCATTGGTTTTTTTTTAATCTTGGTATAATACAACCAGGATTGCTGTTTCCTCCCTAAGACTTCCACTCACTACTCTTAACCTTCTTCACTCTCTTCCTCTCTTAGCATGCTGTTATTGAGGATAGCTAATGGCAGACTTCCATCAGAACACAAAGAGAAAAACACAAGAAAGAAGGGCTGAGGATGCCAATAAGATGGCAATGACTTAAAAGCTAACATTCTTGCTTCTTCTCATCTACCACAAGGACAGTACCTGGCTGAAGATAAAGTCTTGAGTTGCTTCTCAAAACTTAATAATTTTATTAAAGTTGTTGATTATTTTCTTTTGTTTGAAAGACAGCAGTTTGCCTATAGAAAACTTTTAAAACACCCTGAAATTTGACCTGGCAATTCTTTTTTTAAATGATTTTATTGAGAGAGAGAGTGCCAGTAGGGGAGGGGCAGAGAGGGTGAGAGAGAGAGAGAGAGAGAGAGAGAGAGAGAGAGAGAGAGAGAGAATCCGAAGAGGCTCAGAGCTGTCAGTGCAGAGCCTGATGCAGGGCTAGAACACACAAATCATGAGATCATAACCTGAGCCTGACCCGAGCCAAAGTTAGATGTGCTTAACCAACTGAGCCACCCAGGTGCCCCTGATCCAGTAAATCTTAAGGAAAGTAAAGGACAAAGCAAAACTGTATATATAGCTGTTAACCTTTCTCCCCCTACCATTATACATTTGTGTCATCAGAAAGGGCTTACATGAAACATGGACATATCAAAAACCCTACTGTAATGGCCCAGACTATCTCAAAGGATAGATCAAGTTCCAATAATTCTAGTAATAGCAATCTTGGGTGTCGATTTGTAAAAGTTTAATATTAGAATATTTCCCCAAAGATTTATACTGACATATTAGAGTTGTGTGTCTATGGGGAAAAACACCTGAAAAATAAAATAAAATTTTGCCAGTCTGTATTATGCTCAATATTTAAGAAGATCCCCATGACTGGGAATCATAGGCCCCATTAACACAGCATTACTTTGTGCAATGCTGTGTTTTCTTTTCTTCTCTTGGAATCATGGATGGCATCCAATACATTTTTTGGACCACTGATGTGGCTAGTCAGAGTGGTGAGGGGAAAACTGTGTCGGCCATCACTCTATCTTATGTTTGCTCTTGTGCCACGTATGATTTGGGTTGAGCAAAAGTTAGCTTCAGTCCTTGAATTAGGATCTTTGTGAGATGAACACTAGAAATATACATCTATACTAAAAAGTTTCATTCAGTAGCAAGGTGCAGAAATGGAAGTAGCACAATTCCAACACCCCCCATATACATTATATAGTTTGCTTGCTTGTTTGTTTATTCATTTTTGAGAGACAAAGAAACAGAGTGTGAGTGGGGGAGGGTCAGAGAGAGAGGGAGACACAGTTCTGAAGCAGGCTCCAGGCTCTGAGCTGTCAGCACAGCTGACATGTCTCACAAACTGCGACATCATGACCTGAGCTGAAGTTGGTGCTTAACCGACTGAGCCAGGCAGGCGCCCCGCATTATATAGTTTTTTAAATGTTGTATGAAATTTTGAGTAAAATTTATAAACTACAATGTGGCTAAGTTCTGAACACAGATGGATTCTTATGAATACTATAGAAATTATACTTATGTTCCCTTCTTGGTCTAATGCTATTTGTGAAGCAAAAAAGATGTAGCTGTTGAAACTTGCTTAAAGCTCAAAATATTGAATTTTAAGAATTTATATTCATTCTTACAATAGACTGCAAAATATAACCAGGAATTGCTGGTAGGTGACCTACTCCAAAATTTTCATGGTATCTTTCAGGTATCTTTTCTAAGCTCTCTATTTTCAAGAACCAATGATTAAAATGTATCATAATATCTATATTTGGTTGTAGTTAGTAACATTTTTAGCATCTACAGCAGCATTACCTATCTCTTCTGCATTTATTGCACATTTCTTGACACCCGTATACGTTACACCCGTATAACCTTATCTTTATGACCATTTCTTCTAGAAGGTAATTGTTCTCCCTCTCTCTCTCCCCCACCTTCCTCCCTCCCTCCCTTCCTCTATTTTTCCTTCAGATTGCCCACTCCAATATTCCCTCCCAAGCCCTTTTTCATTGCAAGATGGAAGGTTTGATTGCTCTTAAGAAACAGGCATCTGAATATTTCTGCATCAGTCCTTAAACTACTTATAGAAATCATAATTTTTGTCTTCAGTGCAGTTTTGTACAAGAAACAATAATAAAGGAAGAAAAAGTGTACATGATCCACAGAACACTCAGAAGGAATAAATATGAGGGCAGATGTTTTGTTTTTAAACATCTGGAAGGTCAACTATTATAAATTTGTACAAGAAACAATAATCCAGGCCCCCTCAAAAACCCAGAATAAATATGTGAATGTCTGAAAATGGCCTAAATGTGCAGGCTAGGCTGAAAAAGTATGGCCAAGCCCAATCAATACTTTTCAGTGTTGGTTACAAATCAGGTGACTTCAGCTTCAGATTTAGAGCCTGTTCTTTACAAAAATTATTGCATGTCTCCAGAAGGGTTATGCAACTGCTCACTTATAGCTTTTTAAAAATATTATAAAACTCCATTTAAGTAATCTGGAATTCAAGGCCTTTCACCACCTAGCCCAATGTGTGTTTCCAGACTTATTTAGCACTCCTTCTATAAACTGCTCTCAAGTCAAGCTGAACTTGTTACTTCCAAAAGATACCCATTTTTAGTCTGTCTGCTAAGAATTCTCCATCTTCCTGTTCCCACCTCATTCTACCTGCCCAAACCTAGCTAGAACTTATCCATCTCTCCCTCCTCAGAATACCTACAACATTTATACCACTTATTTCCTACATTGCAGTTATGCATGAATGACTTATTTCTTCCAATGAGCTCCCTAAAAGCAGATATATGCTTTATTTATCTTCACATTAGTTCAGCACTTTGCATAGAGTAGGCATTCAATAGATGTTGATCAATATGGATGCTGTGAATCAAGGGCTAATTTACACATTTTAAGAGAAACAAAATTGGATTTTTAGAAGGATATGGCCTGTAACTCTGCAAAAGTTGTTTCTGAGATGTTTTGCTAAATTTTTAAATTTTTTTATTTTAAATTCAGTCCTGGATAAAGTACATTTTCTTCTTTGATAGTTCAAGTGAATCATGTACCAACTAGATTTAAACTATCAACCTCTTCATTTTTTTTTTAGTAGTCAAGTTGATTAACATGACATTAGTCAGTGTTCCTGAGGCACTGAGTTACACTTTAATCATTACTTCAATAAAAATACTTTTAGAGAAAACTATTAGACAATCATTATGTATGTCAAAGAAGTCTTCACTGATAACATTCTGTAAAAATGCCCATTCTTTAATTTAGAAGACAGCACTGCAAAATCGATTTTCTCATAGAGACATACCTTAAAAAAAGATCTCCAGCAATACTTACATGAAACATTAGAACAACTCCAAGGTTTTATAACAAATATAGGTACAAGAAACAAAGAGAGGTTAATGTTCAACCATTTCAATAATATATCATCCAGTGGATTTTCAACACATTTATTTTTTTCTTCAAGCATTTTATCAAGCATTCTTTTCTATGTGGGAGTTTCCACTGCTTCATCAATACCATCAGTGGTTTATATGGCTATTAGTACCACAAATTATTTATTAGAATTTTGATTGAAATAGGCAGCTTGAACAGAGGCAATTCAGAAAAAGAAAACCCTTAAAAATGTGCACTCTGAAACATTCAACATCACAGTTGCTATGGTTTTCTTTCTTAAAAAAAAGAAAAGGATCTA